CTCCTCTGAAAATGGAAAATGTCATAATAGGCCCACTATGCCTGCTGAGAACTGTTCAAAGATTCCACTTGATATACAGAGGATGGGATATTGAGAGCAGAGGGAACACGTAAAGCCAGTAAGCGCTTAAAAACGAAATGAAGATCTAAGAATTCGGAAAATAATCATAATCTCACAATGTAGTGGATGAGATTGAGTACGTGGCGCATTCTGGGGTAAGTTTTGAGGCCCTTCTTCTGTGTGTAGCGGTCAGCCCGCATAAGCGGGATTATATACACATCACATGCGAGCAACTACTTTTTGAGATGAAAATCGAGTGCATGGCGCAATCCTATATGGAGCTTTTCCAAAGTATCAAAGCAATTCTTATAGTGTCCGACGAGCTGAATTCAAAGATATCTTCGGATTCTCGAAAGCTCAATTTTGAACCGAGTTATAACGAATTCACGAAATTAACGAGGATTCGCGTTATTCGCGTGAATTTTCGATTTCAAACGGCGAGTACTGTATACTCATTAATGACGAAATTGACTTGAAACTGACAGACACCTTAACCCATTGCGGACCGCCGTTATAATTGCACCTCCGTAGGTTTTTGTCATCTCTTTTATCAGTGGCCAATAATCTATCGAAAATTTAACCAGTACGCAATACTTGATATATCCTGTGTCTGAAAAAGTAAACTGCTGATTTTGTAACTTAGCAAAATGCTGAAAAAATCGAAGATTACTATCCTTCTCCGCGTGGTGGCGTGCTGCACATGGTGCAGCACGCGGTCCGCAATGGGTTAAGATGTTCCCATCTATAGGGATTTTCCGAGGGCATCCCTATCGCTGCGTCCTTACAAAGCTAACACGCGTGCATACGAAGGCGCGTTCCCTGTTTTGGTCGTTTCGCTTCGAAATAAGCTTGATTCAGACTTTTTCAAATGGAGGTATTCGAAAAGGTTTCAATTCCAATTGTCAAAGCATCTAAAACAACATATTACTGCTACAGGAACGAGCTGAACTTGTCAACCCAACCCTGTGCAATGGCTATAAATAAAATAAATAAAAATGAAATCGGAAGTATTACCAGGAAGCGAGCGCTTTCCCAAGACTGAAGGTTTGAGTAAGAATGAAGAGTATAAATGAGTAGGACTAACAACCTGACAGCTACTTTGGTTATTCACAAAATCTAATCGTAAGTGAGAAGGAGAAAAGAAAGAAGAGCTAGGTGAGAAATGAGCCCCGTAGCGTAACTGGTAGCGCACTTGCCCGGAAAGCGAGAGGTGCGGGTTCTAGTCCCGCCTGGGGCGAAAGTTTTGTTCACAACCCAGCATTCTTGTGAAACATTCGCAACGCGAACTGCGGCGTTAAAACAGCAGTTAACAAACAAAACAAGTCAAAATTCATTGCTAAAGCTTTCAGCCTCGCGGTCATTGCCGATATCGGCTAACCGGCTCAACACGTTAGACGTGTGAGTGCTGAAAGCTATGGTACGTATACCATTAAAGGAAGCAGTCACGCTGGCTTCCACGCTGGATTTGCTACCCTCGCGTTATCAATCGATAAGGTGTGAGGCAGTAATTGTTGGACGAGTGTAAGCCCATGGAAGATATGATACGATGAGATAAGAAGGTGCGGCTGCTTGATAAGAGGTGCACTCCAGAATGAAAACGGGACGATAACGGTATCATATCTAGCACGCTCTTATCGCACCCCTTTCCACATCGATAAGTCTTGGTTTTTGCTGAACGGAAGTGGATTTCGGCGCCTTATCACTCCGTTGATAAGGCGCCACTGCCACTGAAACTTCACGTGTTCTAACATTGGGCAGGACCTCTATCCACTCCAATACATAGCTTTCCTTATCGTTGCCATGAAAATTATCGTGACTGCTTCCTTTAAAAGCTGATTTGGAATGAAATGGTGCCCCGGTAGCCTAACTGGTAGCGCACTTGCCCGGGACCCTCCTGGGGCGAAAGTTTTGTTCACAACCCAGCATTCTTGAGAAATGAGAATTCTGTGCAAATGAAAGCTGATAAATGATAAATGCAAATTCAAAAAATACCGCAATAATTATCGGTTTCCAGCGATACTCATCCAAATTCTTGACGTAATCGGGATAATGTGAGAAGTTGAAATCTCGGAATTCAATAAAGCTGAAATCCTGCAAAAATCTGTATTACTCCAACCGACTGAGCATCAACTCATTTATACGTATCCGAAGAACAAGAACTGAAATAACATTACTAGACCAAAAAAACGTGAAGCAATGAGTTCCCTAAAAGAACCAAATAGAGAGTTACAATACTGCTCCTAGTTTTTGAAACATCTACGCGTCGCGACGGTTTTGTAGCGTCGCGACGTTACAGAACCGTCGCAAACCGTCGCACCGTCATAACTCCCTCGGAAGCAGATAAAATGAAAGGATCTTACAGCGATGGACTCGTCTCTCTGTGGCGAGTCTAACCATGTGCTACTGATTTGGTTGAAGTTGTAATAAGTTATTCCATGAAAACTATTGTCGATCCCTCGTTTGTCGTCTCGCCTCTCCTGATTTCCACTATCTCTCCAATCGAGGACCAGCTCTCAGTAGGGAACGGTCAAGGAATTGACCAGTCGTCGCGCCGCCGCGCGCGGCCACTTGGGCGGCGTCGCGACGCGACATTTTTCCGAGGGGCTCGGGATTTTTTGGATTTGATGGTGGGAGCAGCGAATTTCCTGCAGTCCACAATAATCTCTGTGGGGCGCGGATACCAAATTCCAACTCCCATGCTCTGGCTTCTTAGAAAGTGGCGTGAACAAATTGTTTCATAATAGTAATATTGAAAAACATAAAAGAAAAAAAGTTTGAAGGAATTGAAACTATGCGCGCATTGACTGAAGTTGAATCTTGAAGAGACGGGTTCAAAGAGCGTTCCACTAACGTTCAGTCAGAATGACGCACACAGAAACTCGTCCACTGCAGTTGCAACGTCGCGGCCATGACCAGCAGCGCGGGATCCAAACGGCTCTGTTGACATACACCCGCTTTCAGCTCCCCCGCCTTGATGATTTCATAACGCCTCCCCGAGCCACGGTCAACCGTCACCTTGAACCGATTTCGAAAGTCTTACGACCCCTTCCCCTTGAAGAGTCTCGATACCATACCCGCCTCCCCTTCCCCTCCGCTCTCAGTAACAGTTACTTTGAGCAGAGATGCTGCAACGTGCGGCTCCGTCGCGTGCTTTCCATTGGCGCGCACAGTTCGTCACCCGTTGCGCCGGGAAGCGACTGATCTAACCACCCAGTCAGTAATTATAATGTTCTTCTTCATTCCGTCGAGCATACATGTCGCTTCTGCAACGGAGGGTTATAAAGATGATATCCTTATTATCTGGCCTGCGGCGTTTTCGTTTCTGTTGTTGTAGGTTTCGGCGGTTCTTTCCCCCTAGTGTACTGGTCAGAAACAGAAACTTGGGGAGAGAGGCGCAGTGGCTGGTTCAAAGGACCGTCCCTCTTAGCGCCTTGAAGAGACGTCCTATACGGCTTCGGCGAGACGATGCGCGAAGATGCGCAGGCCTATCTAATTTACAGGTCTCTGCGTAAAACTACTCAAAGAAACTAGCAAATTGTTGTTCGTCCTAACCAGGAAGGTCTTTCAGGGCGTGACAAGCTTTTTGAAAACGGTCTTTTGCATGATATAGGGGCAGATGCGGGAACCACAGAACCATGTTTAATTTTTCCTGAACGGCCCTCTGAATACCAGAAAAGGGGGTCCCTAGTTCGATTCCTCGTGGTGACAAATTTTTGCATTTCGAGTTGACGTTCCAAAATTCGCGCAAAATGGAGTTAGCATGAATAATTAGTACCATATTCATGATTAGGACCGTCAGTAACCCTTACAAAAAGACTTTGACTTAAAAATTGGTGTAAGAGGTGTGACACCAAGCAGCCCCACTGTGGTGTCACACCTTTTTCACCAGTTTTTTAATCAAAGTCTATTTGTAAGGGTTACTGACGGTCCTAATCATGAATATGGTACTAATTATTCATGCTAACTCCATTTTGCGCGAATTTTGGAAACGTCAACTCGAAATGCAAAAATTTGTCACCACGAGGAATCGAACTAGGGACCCCTTTTCTGGTATTCAGAGGGCCGTTCAGGAAAAATTAACCATGGTTCTGTGGTTCCCGCATGTGCCCCTATATCATGCAAAAGACCGTTTTCAAAAAGCTTGGTCACGCCCTGAAAGACCTTCCTGGTAAGTAGAACCCAACTTTTTCAAGTTTTCACTTCTTCGGAAGATCGTCCCGTTGGTCTTTTTTGTGCATATTTACGCGTTTCGCGTTACAAATAATAAAAAAAAGCTCAGATTGACTTGTTGGTAGGTTCGAAAAGGCGAAACTATCTCGACATTCAAACTCCCACATTTCAATCATTAGAGTGCTGTTCAAATGCGCTTTCACCGCACAATGTATTTATAGGAACACTCTTTCCTTTTCTATGAGCTACCAGTTTGCGCCGCACGCGTTGCGCGCACGACACAGCTCTGCGGCGATATGGGTTGGTGCGGCGTAAACTCTCAAATTTGGCCCGTTACACTACGAATATTGACTTCTAAGCTAAATTCTATCCGCTCCATCCACCGACGGCTTCTGACCTCTTCTTCTTCGTCCACCATTGTCATTGACCTCTAACCACTTTTTTCCCGGTCTTCAGGAATTTGGGAAATTTTTTAACTTTGACGTAAACTCCGCCCGCATTGGCCCACGTTCCGCAAACCAACAGCAAGTTGTCCAGCTTCACTAAAGCCTTCCATGTAATGCGCGCGGTTGCGTGCGGAGCTAAACTGGTGGTTAGATAGATGAGGTTGAGCTGAACTTTCATGCAAATTCAGGACAGCAATGTTTGGTTCGGCATGAGCACGTTGTTGATCGCGGTAGGGTATCGAAGCTTCCGCACAGTGCAAGTTTTGCGCATTTTGCTGCCATTTATTTTATATCAATCATACTTGTAAAAATTTACCTTGAAAGTATTCCTCTCAATATTTCCCAAGTTGTATACAATCATACGTTGTCCGGGGAAATGTTTCGCGACAGTGCCCATCTGAAACAGAGCAAAAAATCATACCATTCAAAATTTTTTTCAAAAATGAAAAGGAATTGTCAGAACATCTTCAGATTACAGCGGAAATGTACCTATCCAAAAAAGGACGGAGGGGAGCGGGATGGGGAGGTTACGGGGGAGAAGGGAGGAATTCGGTGCAGAGACCACGAAAAACATTACCTTTGATTGTGCACGTTTAGATACCATTAGTTTCTTTTTAGCGCAACCGAGTTGTGCATAAAGTTGTGAGCTTCTGTTATCTACAATAACCGGAATACTGTACTCAGAATGACTATTGCAGCCCACTCAATGACTATTGCAGCCCACTCCCTCGTTCATTCTAATAGGCTTGGAAAATATCCAGGAAGGGAAGGAAGAATTGAATGTGGCAACTGCCTATAGCACCACACGAAACAATCTTTCTGCGGCTGATGTCTGGACTTCGCCTTCGATGCGATCGTACATTGTTGATGGTGTTCCATTTTCTGCGAGTAAATCTGTTGCTGACCTCGGTTTTTACAAATTTTTCACCTTCCTAGAGGTCTATCCTTAGCTAATAAAGGTGCTTTGCTGCGTGCTTACAAGTCGTATGTGCGACCCCTGGTTGAATCCGGCACTACGGTATTCAACACCACAAGGAGGAAGCATGTCTATGCGCTTGAGAAGGTTCAGAATAACTTTACTCGTAAACTGCTTATTCGAATTGGTGGTTTTTTGTACTCCAAAATACCAAAGGCAGCTATTAGGAATCAGTATCTAGGACTGACATCTTTAGAAGTTAGGCGCAGAGTTTTCGACCTCTGTTTGGTTCATAAGCTGGTTCAGGGCGCGTAGATTACGGTTCCTCTAAAGTATTCAAATTGACAACTTCGATAACATGAAGATCTCGTTGACCCATGTTATGCGTTGTTGTTTTTGTCCCACGCGTGCCTTCCTCATACGTAATACTTATAATACCAGTTTAGCTCCGCCCGCTACCGCGCGCATTGATAGAACTGACAATCGATGAAGCTTTAGGTTTCACCGCTAAATTATAGCTGCTTCGTTAAATGTATTACTGTCCGTTGCATAGGCTGGCTGTATCTCACTGTTTGATAAGCGCAGTGAAGTGCACAGCTAAAGTGATGATGTAAACAACCACTATGCGTCGAGTATCGAGGTAATTTAGCGGTCGAATATCTCAAAACGGAATGCCCAGTATTCATTATCATATTTATTCGAGCATCCCATTCATCCTCAAGAACTCTAGAAGGTGTAGCGGTCGAAAGGTGTTTGAGTTTACAATTACAACGCTGATGAAATGATATTGAAATGAAATGCATTATCTACAATCTGCTCTCTATTTTCTATTTCAAGTGCTCTCTACGTTCGTACGCATATCGTTACTATCAGTCCTCATCAGTCGTTATCACTTTTTGACCCCCACCAAATATGTTCCCGTCCCACCCCCTATATCATGTCCCAAAATCAGCTCCTGACGACTGCTGCGAAGCGCACTATGAATTTCGTGAAATTTGTGTTTCAGCGCCTCTTATCTGCTCTTATCAGTCGTTATCACTTTGTGACCCCCACCAAATATGTTCCCGTCCCCCCCTATATCATATCAAAAAATCAGCT